ACATGTTCCCCCATCCTATCCCCACTGGCAGGATTCCTAGAAAAGTGAATACATTTGCCAACATCTGTGATTACACTAATAGTACTGTCTAGTCACAATTTAGCTCTACATACCTGTGTTACATCTGTAGGCAGGGTGCTTCAGAATTTGGGAGAGAACATGTAATTTTGAAGGCTTCACACTCAAATTAGTTAACCACATAATCCAATATATTTAAGAACAAGTAGTCCTGCGGCATCTTAGAGACTAACAAAAATATACGGGATCATGAGTTTTTGTGGGCAAAACCCAGCTCAACTGAAAAAGTGGGTTTTGCCCATGAAAGCTCATGATACCACATATATATTTTTGTTAGAATCTAACAAAAGGTGCTATTCATTGATTTAAAGTTACAGACTCACACAGCTACCCCTCTGAGACATTATATTTAAGATTACTTAGTTGTCTTTACATGGTGCATATGTTTTGTTGGAATGCTGTATTTTATGACCATCTCCTCCAAGTTTAAAAAAATATCAATTTAAATCAAATGTTTAGTGTTCAGATATTAAAGATTTTCTTCTAACTAGTAATACAGTAAGTCAGAAATCAGTTTCTGATCTGATTACAGGCTCTTGAATAAATGTCACACTTTCACCAAAATAAATGCTGCCTCCAGCAGATTCAGAAATACCAAATCTAACAAAAAAAGAAGTACTTTAAATAGTTATGTCTTATAAGTATTTTTCATGATGTAATCCTCCTATATTGCTGATTTGAACAAAATGGATATTAACTTATTTTCAGCATTTTAAAAATGAGTTTCATTCCATCTTCAGACTAATTGTACTGCTGAAAGCTTTATCTCCACATTCTTAGTGTTAGTTTACTGAAGGAAAATAAATTATTTTGCTTTCTAACCTGGTGTTTCTGAAGAGTTGGACAGTGGAGCAGACGCTTCTGCTAAAGCTGCTAATGTAGCTAATACAGATGTTGATGAATTTCCAAATTGTACAGCAGATACTCCCGACTCATCTAAGAGAAGAAAAAATTAAGTCAGTTCACAAACTTGTATTAGATTGTTACAGAAGTCCCTATTTTTTATGCTAAAGACATATAATGATCTTGTTATAAACCAAACATTATATCCTGAAGACAAGTTTGTTAGGCTAATACAGTTCTAAGGCATTATTATTACATTATTATTCTAAGTACCTGGATGTTTATAATATGCAAAAGACAACAAAGAGGAATAAGGCACAGCTGCAATCTTACCATCATTGTTCACCATAAAATGGTGAACAAACCATAAAATTCCAACAGCTGTCCTAAAAACATCCAAATATCTGCTGCATTTGATATATCTGCAGAAAATACCAAACCTGTTAGGTTCACCACGCCTCCAGGTCCAATGATAAACTGTGGTGTGGCTGCATGTATTGTCACAGTGTCAGGACTCTCTGGATTTGTATTGATTTGATTCTGCATTGCAATCTAGGAGGGAAAAAAAGACAACAACGCTATTCAGAGTGCAAATAAACATTAAAAACATTATACTTCTATAAAAACAATTATAAAAATGACAGCCTTGTCCACGGGAGAAGGTAAATAAGACTAGATCAAAATGTAAATCTACAGTCTACCACTAAGTAATAATCAAGGAGAAGGATGGGTAACCTAGGCTAGTGAGTGGGCTGCATGAGTGGGTCTCCATTTCAGTAGGCCACAAGATTGTCATAACCAAGATGGTCTCCCGGGAGAGGATAATTTTGCTAACCGAACTTGCACACCTAGAATTTGCAAGGTGCACTTACTGGACCATAGCAGTGCTTTGATTTAAAGCAGAGAAGCACACAGCTCTCTCAATCAATGTTTTGTGCAATCTGCATGCACCTCACTTCAAATGTCCTTGCTTTAAGTGTGTGTCACTTTAGTAATACCAGCAGGGAAAAACCCGACACGGACAGAAACCAGTGGAAGCTGGCAACCCTTCACATGGGTAACACTAAACAAAATGTCTCATAGGCCACACATAGAACTCTAATGGACCGCATGTAGCCCTTAGGCTGCAGGTTGCCCACCATTGATCTAGGAGCTATTTAAGGTGAATTGGAAAAAGCAAAGCGCTGATGAGGACTCAAAACAAGTTATGTAAACTGTGGCCAAGAGGCTTCAGCTTTCGCCTTCATCTTCATGGTAACATGATTTGACTGAAGTAAAACTTCAGAATGCCACCAACATCCATTTCCCTAGCATTTAGATACTGAATACTCAATACCCTCATTTATTCTAGGTCAAACCACCCCAATTAATCTTGAAATTTATTTATGACTGTATAATCTCAGTGCCTGAAAAAGTCAGAAGCTACCACAAAAATGAATGTACCGGTAAACCAAAAAAACCCCCAAAAAAACCCCACCCTGCCAGTGTAAATCTGGGCATTCCAGGGGATCCTGTAAGAAAGTTGTTCTGATCCCTAGTCAATGAAAAGAGGTGACCTTCTTCCTCTTCTATCCCTACCAACTAATTTAGCCCTCATACAGGCAACTAACATAACACTAAGGACAGGACATCTTGTCAGAGTTTAGTAGTCATACCTCATCTGCAAATTAGCAGTTATTCCATAACTCACAATGAACAAGTCTAAAAAGACTTAAGACCCTCACTTCTTGGATTGGCAGGGGCTAGAAGCATTCTTCAGAGAATTTTACACAAATAATATGTATGAGTTAGGAATATCACCTATCGTGTAATTGAATAGTCGTGTAACCACATGAAATTTTAGTGGTTACACGACTACTAGACAGTTCCTGGGGGTAGGACTGATAGACAGTGAACTCCTGACCCCTCTCCCAGGGAGCCCCCTGCCATCTCACACTGCTGTCTCATATACAGCAGCTCCCCATGCAGACCAGCTTCCAGGAGCGTGAGGTGGCAGCAGCCCCCTGCCCACGAGGATCCCAGCTCCCACAGACAGCAGCAGCAGTGCCAGAGGGGATGCAAAAGGCAGGGGAGGCTGCCGTGAAACAGCCTCTGTCCGTGGTGGGCCCAGCCTCCCAGGGGACAGAGGCTGCTCCACATCCCACGGAGCAGCCTCTGTCCACGGTGAGATTGGGCCTGCCGTGGACAGAGGCTGTTCCGCAGCAGCAGCCCCTATTTGTCTCCCTATGTGTATTGGCTTCAGCCTACTTCCCTTAACCTCTGTGCTGCTACAACTCTATCAGAGGCAGCAGCACAGGGGTTTAGGAGGGCAGGCAGATCCTGTGCTCATTGGGAGCTGGCTTTTAAGCTAGCTCCTCCAGGGCACCAGCTCCCACTCCCTCCACCTCTGCTGCCTCTGATACAGAGGCAGCAAGGGAGGGGAATGTGTGTAATAGACAAGATTAGCCGATAAGCCCAGGTTGACTGGTTAATTGTGTAATTGTCTACACGATGACATTCCCAGAAGTGAGAAACTAGGAGGCAAGGTCAAATCAGTATCTTAGATGCCTACATACAAATGCGAGAAGTATGGGTAATAAGCACGAAGAACTGGAAGTGGTAATAAATAAGTACAATTATGACATTGTTGGCATCACAGAACTTGGTGGGATAATACACAAGATTGGAATATTTGTATGGAAGGGTACAGCTTGCTCAGGAAGGATAAACAGGGAAAAAAGGGAGGAGGTGTTGCCTTATATATTAAAAATGAACACACTTGGAGTGAGGTGGAGATGGACATAGGAGACAGAAGTGTTGAGAGTCTCTGGATTAGGCTAAAAGGGGTTAAAAATAAGGATGATGTCATGCGAGGAGTCTGTGGGATACCTAGGCTTTAGTAAAGTTTAGGTACGATCCTATCAATAGACTAGGGAAATGCAACCCAGATGGGGCTACTGTAAGGTGGGTGCATAATTAGCTGGAAAAAGCGTTCTCAGAGAGTAGCCCACAGTCATGCTGGAAGTGGGTACCAGGCAGGGCCTGGGAGGGGGAGGCGCGGGGGGGGGGGGGGGGGGGGAAGCTGTTCTAGATTTGATCCTAACAAATAGGGAGGAACTGGTTGAGAATTTGAAAGTAGAAGACAGCATGGGTGAAAGTGATCATGAAATCATTGAGTTCACAATTATAAGGAAGGGTAGAAGGGAGAACAGCAAAATAGAGACAATGGATTTCAGGAAGGCAGAATTTGGCAAGCTCAGACGTTCCGCAGGGGTCTGTTTTGGGACCGGCTCTCTTCAATATCTTCATCAACGATTTAGATATTGGCATAGAAAGTAGGCTTATTATCATCGCAGGGATGAATATAGGTAAACAACACAGGAATGCAGGGGCAAGATTAGAAAGGCAAAGGCACAAAATGAGCTCAAACTAGCTACGGGAATAAAGGGAAACAATAAGACTTTTTATAAATACATTAGAAGCAAGAGGAAGACCAAGGACAGGGAAGGGCCACTGGTCAGTGAGGAGGGAGAAACAGTAACAGGAAACTTGGAAATGGCAGAGATGCTTAATGACTTCTTTGTTTTGGTCTTCATTGAGAAGTCTGAAGGAATGCCTAATATAGTGAATGCTAGTGAGAAGGGGGTAGGTTTAGAAGATAAAATAAAAAAAGAACAAGTTAAAAATCACCTAGAAAAGTTAGATGCCTTCAAGTCACCAGGGCCTGATGAAATGCATCCTGGAGTACTCAAGGAGCTGATAGCTAGAGTCTCAAATACCTCCTCTATCATCTGTGGAAAATCATGGGAGACAGAAGAAATTCCAGAAGACTGGAAAAGGGCAAATATAGTGCCCATCTATAAAAAGGGAAATAAGAACAACCCAGGAAACTACAGACCAGTTAGTTTAACTTCTGTGCCAGGGAAGATAATGGAGCAAGTAATTAAGGAAATCATCTGTAAACACTTGGAAAGTGGCAAGGTGATAGGGAACAGCCAGCATGGATTTGTAAAGAACAAATCATGTCAAACCAATCTAATAGCTTTCTTTAATAGGATAACGAGTCTTGTGGATAAGAGAGAATTGGTGGATGTGGTATACCTAGACTTTAGTAAGGCATTTGATACAGTCTCACATGATATTCTTATCAATAAACTAGGTAAATTCAGCTTACATGGGGCTACTATAAGGTGGGTGCATAATTGGCTGGATAACCGTACTCAGAGAGTAGTTATTAATGGTTCACAATCCTGCTGCAAAGGCATAACAAGTGGGCTTCTGCAGGAGTTCATTTTGGGACCGGCTCTGTTCAATATCTTCATCAATGATTTAGATATTAGCATAGAAAGTACTCTTATTAAGTTTGTAGATGATACCAAGCTGGGAGGGGTTGCGACTAATCTG